GCCAGCCTAAGGCACACCTGTGCAATAATCATGCTGTCTAATCAGCATCTTGATATGCCACACCTGTGAGGTGGATGGATTATCTCGGCAAAGGAGAAGTGCTCACTAACACAGATTGACAGATTTGTGAACAATATTTGAGAGAAATAGGCCTTTTGTGTACATAGAAAAAGTCTTAGATCTTTCAGTTCAGCTCATGAAAAATGGGGGCAAAAACAAAAGTGTTGCATTTATAATTTTGTTCAGTGTATATATATGACATTGTTAATTGTCATTAATTAATCGATTGTATTAAATAAATTATAGATGCATACTATGTTTGATGGTCGCCGTGATTTTGCCAAGTAAGACATGTTCCTGGATCAACATTACTGTCCAAAAATACAGATTTAACTCAATCCCCACTCCTAAACCTAAACCTTAATCCAGGAACATGTTGTACTTGGTCAAATCACGCTCACCGAAAATGATGTCATAGTGTGCAATCCTATCCACCTTTTGCTGAATGCAGAAATCTCACCCGACTCAATGAAACAATGCTTTATATGCAGTCTCTGGTGTTTCTAGTCAAATTAACATTTTCAGAGCTTGATTCCTAAAAAAATCATTGAAGGTTACGAAGAATGCTGGTAAATAAACCAAAAATCTCCATTTGAAGGAAAAAATGGTACATTTCATTTGGAATAATGCATTGATTTTTCTTTTCCATTCGATTACAATTAATAAAATAAGAAAGATTTAAAAAGGATGCAAAAGTATACCATAATATTATAGTAAACGAGGTCCAAATCACTATTTTCCAAGTCTTCTGATAATCTTCTCCTCCAGTGGGCTGTGAGTTTACTCAAGAATTAAATTCCATCTGATTTCTGAGTCATTTGGACTGGTTTTGTGAACTTGATCAACTGATTGATTTACAATTAAAACAATTTGTTCATGAATCGGACATCACTACTTCTCTCTTCATCAGTCAACATTTTGACTGATTGTCACACAAAATTGGTTTCAGAAGATGTCATATGAACCGCTGTTATGGTGCTTTTATGGTATTTTGGAGCTTGACAGCCCCAGTTCTCATTTTCTATTATAGTATATAAAAGAGTGGCCAGAATATTCTTCACAAATCACATGCCCTTCACAAAAAAAATAACAAATAAAATAAAATAAATAAATAAAAAGTTGTACGTGTTGAATGATACGAGTTTTAAGGGAAGAAAATGACAGAATTTTCATTTTTTGGTTGAACTATTCCTTTAAACTCACCAAAACAGTTTAGATTACAACAGAGGTTTTCAAACCACTCCAGTGTTCACTAAGTTATAAGCTGGTATTCCATTCCAAACATGGCCATTGTTTAGTTGTGACTAGTTACTTCTACTGGGAACAGTTATGGAGATTATCATAAAGATCCCAGCTATAACTAGAGAGCTCTGGTGGCTGAGGTAAGAAATGCATGATGTTGATGCAAAATTAGTTGTTTTTCTTCAAAATTGTACTTTGCAGAAAAAAAAAAAAAAAAAAACTTTTTTGTCAGCCACCCCTCAAAAACAGCCAACAACAGAAGTTGTTAATGTAAAGGTGAGAAACATGAGGAACAGATCTCACAGATCGATGTGTCTGGTGGTGAAGATGCTGATGAGCCACTGCAGATCCAGAATCTTAAAGGGCAACAGAATGAGGTGAGTCGTCTCATCCATGTCCACAGCGCTCTCGGGGTAGATGACACGGTGAGTGGTCTTAGACCCCACGTCCTGCTCAAAACCTTTTGTTGGGCCCTCATTCATCCTGAGATAAAAACACACAGATATACAAAGTTTGGGTATATGATAAGAGTATTTATTACATTTACATTTACATTACATTTAGTCATTTAGCAGACACTTTTATCCAAAGTGACTTACAAATCAGGACAATGGAAGCAATCAAAATCAACAAGAGAAAAAAGATTAGAGAAGCTAGTGTTTGTTTTTTTTTTGAAAGAAAACAAGCAGTACTTATGTTAGCAGATGTAAATTTACAATTTATGCCACAGTGTTGGCCAAATTAGCATTAGGGCCTTTCACACCGCAGGAACCTTTTCATAGTACCAGAACTAATTGTGGAACTACCCACTTTTTGGCGTTTATTCCGATCACAGCGTCCTCCATCCTCCTGTTGTTAATGTTGTTGAACGCCGCGCACAAATGACGTCGCTGTCGACCAGTTCCTAGTACACACTGTCGGTGCGAATGCAACCCTTTAAATGGTACTGGGAAATAGTTCGCGCAAAATCGTCCCAGTACTTTAGTACTGTCCATTTAGTTCTGGAACTAAAGCGGTGCGAAAGGCCCTATTGTCTGTTTTCTGTGACAGTTGATTCATTTAGTACCTTATAACGAAGTCTTGTGAATCTATGAGCGCACCATAATGGGATCCGATGAGGTTGCCCGAGTTGCCCACTACAGCACAGGTTCTGCAGCGGCTGGGACTGGTGTCGGAGTAGTGATCTTTATCTGGGAAGAGGGAAAACAACACCTCCACCACTTTTTTATAGTCGGCTACAGTTGATTCATTTTGTAGACTCTGTTAAACATTTGAAAACAATGTGACAAAATTAGGAGTTACATGTAAAAGTGATTATTGTTGTGCTGTTATACATTTAACAAAATCAAGAGACTGACATGTCATATGTATACAGTGATGTAACGGTACATCTTTCATAGCACCAAACAGAGCAAGCAAAGTCCCTTTTAAGGAAATGTTTCTATGCAAACCAGAGCTTCTAAGAGCAGCTGGACTGAGATGATGTCTTCACTAATAGGCGATTGGCTCTTTTATTTAGAAGGCGGGACTTATTCTGCGCTGTCTTTGTATGTTGGGAAGGCAGTGTGCGGTTTACTGTGTGACGTCAGACACCTTCAGTTTCCTGGTGAGCCGAGAGCTCAGAGTACCTTGTGGTGTTTCCAGCATTTAGACTGAAATTGGTGAAATTTTCAACAAGCAACAAATACATTTAGATTAATGAAGCTTTTTTCATCTCCACTTGAACAGGGAGACTAATAAATTAAAGTTTTTAACAGTACTGAATCGTGAAACTTCTCTTTTATGGGCTTTTTGCCCTAATATTATCTACAGGATAATCAAAGGGTAATAGGAAAGAAGTGGGACAGTGACAGGCTATGAGCGCCAGCCAGACATGAACCTGCATGCCAGCGAGAACACAACAACTCTTTTGATCTATTACTATTAGAGTTTATGCTGGTCCTTTTGCTGGTTTATGCTGGTCATGTGCTGGCAAAGGACCAGCATAAACCAGCAAAGGACCAGCTTAAACCAGCATCCCAACGTCAAAACATACCTAACCAGCATATGCTGTTTTTTTTCAACAGGGTGGTTCCTGCCAATTGTATGCAAAAAAGTGTTCCTGTAGTTCAGATGCTAGCAATACCTAGGTCATGGGTTCAACTTTGAGGGAGCACACATATTTTAAAAATATGTACCTCAAATGCACTCTATGAATGTTTAAATGTAATTCAAAAAGAATTAGCCTGCTGTTTAAAATAGTTTTGGATAAAACCCCCAAGTCCAATGAACAGGCTATAGGCCTACCACAGAGGACCTCAGTGCCGGATTAATAAAGAGCACAGCTACTGTTACACACTGTGATTCAGACTGAAGAGACTTGTCCTTACCTTCCACCACCAATAGGTGTGGAAATCCAGTGGGCTGTTCTTGGTGTTAAGTGTCACGTTAGCAGAGGGTTTATATCGTTGAGAAAACCACAAAAGACCCTCCGAATCCATTGCGCAGTTACAGACACATGCATCTGTGTGAAAACTCCAGGTAGATGTTTGACAGAAGAGAACTATACAGATAGTGCTGGCGACACTGACAAACACAACGACTTGTCGAAGAGTTCTTTTGTTAATCATCATTATGTGTGTTGTTTGAATGAAATGTGTTCGATGTTTTCTCTCTGAAAGTAGAGAAAGAAAGAGTAAAAAAAATAATCTTATTAGACCGATGTGTTCTGTCTAATGATCACACTCTCTCTGCATTCATTGTCAACTTTAACTATTACACATTTTCATCTTAAACTACACAGGAAAAATTCATATAGCCAAATGTGCTGTTGTATTCTATTATTAACAGTATCAGTATAATTGTTCATATCAGTGTAATTGTTTCCATTAAAAAAAAAGGCTCAGGACCTGATCAGACAGAACACGTTTTTTCAAGTTTGATAACATGAGGCACACTGCACTGCCTTTTTTTTGGTTTGACTTATTTCAAAGACTACAGAATACCCAAGAAGTGTCACTGGTATAGTTTTGAATGGGGGGAAAATGCAACGCTCAATATGGCCGCTCTCTTGAAGGAAGCCCTGCCTTCTGAGTAAAAGAGACTATTGCTAATCGGTAAAGTCATCGCGTCATTGCAGCTGCCGTTAGAAGTCCCGGTTGCTATAGAAACAGTCAGGGTTCGGAGACGTGCGCTCAGGACTGCGCATGCGCACTGGCTGATCTAGCCTGAAAAATACGCTTTTTTGACGCTATTTGAGCAAAAGAAACAACATTTATGAGACAGTTGTCAGATTTCATTGGTGATTTCAAATATGAAATGTAATCTTAAGCTTGGTGAACAGTTTACAATTTGATCCTTCCCCATTCAAAGAGATAGGAGCTGCACTTGCATGCCTGAGAGGCGTTTCAAAGATGGCTGCCGAGTGAAATTACTTGTCTTAAAGGGACTTTGCATTTTTTAATTTAGAAAAGAGCAGTGCGCTGCGGGGTGTTTTTATGTTGCCAGGCAACGACCAAATCAGGTGTCCTGTAATCAAGGATTATAGCACGAGCGCTCTAAAATCTTTGGTTTGCTGTTAAGTAAACTGTCATATTAGCAGAAACTTTAAAAAAATACAGCTCTGCGTGACCCGTGACAGCCAGCACAAGTTTCTCCTCCATTATTTCAGTCTCCAGATGTACCAAGCAACTGTAAACTTCCGTCACACAACGGAAGGTCCGCCTCTCCATTCATTCGATTGGACAATGGAAAAAAAAAAAAAAAAATGTCGGGGGTTTTCCTGCTCAGAATTGATTTTTTTTTTTTCAACTTCAGCACTCAGAGCACTCCTACAAAAACACGAGGCGCAGCAGGTGGCTAAAATGCACAAAACGCTCACTGCCAATAGAAAACAATTTAAAAAAGGCGCCTCTCACTAAAAAATAAAAAAACAAACAAAAAAAAAACACATTCTGTCTGACCGGGACCTTAGGCTACATTATAGGCTCATCTTACCAATTAAGATATATTACTTTCATTTACAATTTAAAGTTTACTCTCAATACATCTGAAGAGAAACAGATATACAAGCAGGCTGGTAAAACTGAAACAAAGTCCAGAGATCTGTTACCTGTGAGAGGAATCTGTAAACAAATGATCTGTTCTTCCGTCTGTTAACCAGCTTCCATTTTGAAGAGTTTAGTTTACTGAGAAAGCATGCCCGTGTGAGCCCTCACTAATGACTTTTGAAGTCAGAGTCTTAGATGACTTAGTAAGACATAGGAGAGTGATCACTACAGTACAGTGAGTCGGGTGAAAATATGAATATGTAAGCAGCACAGTTACACTAAAACTCTAGCATGTGAACAGCAGGCACGTTTGACCAGTTTAACCTGATTCTACACACGCACCCTCTTGTAACATATTATGTTTCATATATTACGCCAAAAGGAAAAGAAAAAGGGGGAGGCACTGTTTTATTATTTAATTTACATGACTGAACCAAAGCTCTGCATATTTTGCATGTCTCTCTTAATTAACACACCTGATTCAGATAACCAGCTCGTTAGAAGAGAGCTCCATGCATGAACTGTGTTCCAATTGAGGACTACCCGACATTCAAAATACATCCTATAGGTTACTGTCTTGTCCTTCAGAATGTGCGTCCCTGTCAGGGGCGTAGCCATCATTTCAGAAGTGAGGGGGAAAGAAGATACTGTAATCTATATGACCTACCAGTCAACAGTTTTTGAACAGTAAGATTTTTAATGTTTTATAAAGAAATCTCTCAGACCGCCAGAGACGGTCAATACATGATGGAAAGGAGTCGCATCTCACGCATCACATCGAGAATCTCGTATTAATTCAGTCACACGTGACTTTGACCGATGACCTGTCGGAAGCTATATCAGCTCCTGACTACGTCATGGTCGGTCTCTTTGTCATTCTCTCGGAGAGATCTCGTTTGAGCGTGCACAGCTTTTGGGTTGGTGTTCGCTCCCCGCGATAGCTGTGTCTCAAAAGAGCAAAGACAGTGCTATTGCGTTGAATTATATTGGATTCGTCGTTGGGTTTTTGGATTGGATTTATTGGACCCATTGGTTATCCAAGGTCCTTAAACAAGCGGTGTTCCAGCTGCTGTGTTGAGTACTATTGGACCTTATTGGTTTACCAAGGTTCTGTGTTCACCGCATACCTGTGCACTCAGACTATTGTTGCGCTCACTGGTAAACCAGGGTGTCGGTTATTGTGTGCGGTTACTCTGGCGACCACGTAACGCGTTATTTCAGTACTGTATTATAAATATTATTAACCCATTGGTTGACCAGGGTTACTTTCCTAAAGGCATAGGCACTATGGCTGCTTCCTGTTCTACATGTTCAGACCTATGGACCTATGGACCTTATGGATGCACATATTCACTGCCCTGGCTGTTTGGGCATCGACCATCTTAAGGAGGCTTTAACTGACCCTTGCCCAGAATGTAGTCTAATGCCACTGGGAATTAGGCAACAGGGACTGGCAAAGTTTGAAGAGTTCTTACCACCAGTCAAGACTAGGATTCAGACAGGTAGCAAACGCTCAGCTAGCAAAACTGAGGGGCCTCCAAAGAAGAAGCGAACTACGACTGCAGCACTATCCCACCAGGAAGTCAAGTCAAGTCAAGTCACCTTTATTTATATAGCGCTTTTAACAATACAGATTGTGTCAAAGCAACTGAACAGCATTAATCAGGAAAATAGTGTGTCAATAATGCAAAATGACAATAGTAAATACTCATGTTTCAGTTAAAGGCAGTTCATCATTGAATTCAGTGATGTCATCATCCAGCTCAGTTCAGTTTAAATAGTTTCTAGAGAGAAGGTAGTTCAATTAGCTAATGCTGTGCAGGGCATTCGGGCTTTGTTGTCTAGATCATTGCCGTCTGCTACTCAGAGCGCAGATGAGGATGTGAGAGACTCTGTAATTAACGACTTGTTGCCCAAGGTTGTGCCAATGTCCGAATGTCCTAGGGAGGACCTGGACACATTGTCTTTGGCGGCTTCAGATTCACTGGTTACGGATGAGCAGGACTGTTATTTACCCTTGGAGGAGACTTCTTCTGTACACTCTCAGTCTCAGCACTCCCATAACGATGAGGGCTCAGGTCTGCAGGGGGCTGTTCTTTGGTGGCATTTTCATTGCAAGACACTATCAAGATGGCCCTTGCTAAGTTAAATCTGGACCCACCCCCTCCGGCGTTGGGACCTTCAAACCTCTTGCGGCAGTCGGTATTTCCTGATACCTAGCTGCCCTGACTTTACTGAGGTTGTTTTTTCAGCTTTTTGATCTGCTCCTTCTTCCAGACCAGATCGAGCGGCGCACACTTTGGCTGCAATGGCTGATGCCCAGGAGAAAGGTCTTGGTAACATGTCCTCAGTAGAGCCGTTTATTTCTTCATTGATTGTGTCCCCGGATGAAGCCCTTAAGCAGGAGCTATGCTGCCCTAACCCGGAGTTCAGACGTACTGATGATTTGCTGGTTCGTATATATAACACTGTTTCAGGATTGACTCGTATTGGGAATTCTATGGCTCAATTGTTGTTGGAGCTTCATTCGACCATGTCGTCAACAACACAGGATAATGCTTCATCAGAACTGCTTGAGGCTTCTCTACAGGCTTTGGGGTCGATGGCCTTCTCTAGGGGAAAAGCTCTTGGACTTATCACACAAGCTAGACGGCAAGTGTGGCTGGCTCAGTCCAGCCACACCTGCATACTCCCTGACATACTCCCTGAGGTAACCTCCACCAATTGCCATTGGTGCCTGGTCAGATCTTCAGTCCAGCTGCTCAGAAGGCCCTTGAGCGCAGGGTAAGAGCAGCTGAGTCTCGTTGTTGATGTTCCCCGGTGTCGCTAGGGGTTCAGGGTCTGTGAGGGGACAGTTTTCGGCCTCTCAGTTACATCATTGGAGAGGCATTACAGACAACAAGTGGCTTCTCGATACACTTGATAAAGGATATTGTCTTCAGTTCCGTCACAGACCCCCAGTCAGCACCCAGGTTCATCCGACAGTTGTCAAGGATCCGCATCAGGTCCTGGCCCTTTCAAAAGAGATCCAGAACTTGTTGGAAAAGGGTGCAATAGAACCAGTGGACCCCCAGGTCCAACCCAAATATTTTCTTGTTCGGAAGAAGGATGGAAGTTTCAGGCCCATCCTGGATCTCAGGCGCTTAAACAAGGGCCTCAAGCGTCTTCCCTTCCGATTGTAGATGTTCGACATGCAATCGAACCCGGAATGTGGTTCACTTCAGTGGACCTGAAGGATGCATATTTTCATATCCCCATCGCCCCACATCACAGAGGGTTCCTTCGGTTCACTTTTCAAGGCAGAACTTATCAGTTCAGAGTCCTTCCGTTCGGCCTGTCTCTTTCTCCCAGGGTGTTCACACGCGTCATTCAGGTGGCGTTGGAGCCACTTCAACGAGAAGGCATGCTGATTCTTCCGTACCTGGACGATTGGCTGTTGTGCGCCAGATCATACCAACAGGCTGTCGACAACACACAGCGTCTGTTGTTTCATGTAGCCACCTTGGGTCTAAGGGTGAACTTTCAGAAGAGTTGCCTAACCCTAAGCCAGTCAGTGTGTTTTCTGGGAATGCAGTTGGACTCCAGGGCAATGAGAGCTTTCAGAAGGGAGCCCCAATTGGGCCGCCCCCAGCACGCAGGGAGGTGGTAACCATGGATGCCTCCCTCAGCGGGTGGGGAGGACTGTGGCAACACCGAGGTGTACGGGGCAGTTGGTACCCACATTTATTAGACATTTCAGGCAAGAACTGTCAGGGAGACACATTCTGGTAAGGACGGACAATACCACAGTGGTCTTTCTAATCAACCACCAGGGGGGCACCCGGTCCCTACCCTGTCCCCAGTTAAGGCTCCTGGGTTGGGCGTACAAACACTTCCCTTCAGTCAGAGCAAATCACATTCCTGTTGCTGCAACGGTGTGGCAGACTCACTTTCCTGTTCGGGACCGAGACCGGGGGAATGGTGCCTACACAAGGAGGTTGTTCAGACAGTTTGGAAGAATTACGGGACAGCAGCCGTAGACCTTTTTGCCAGCAAGTCGACGACACATTGTCCGCTATGGTTTTCAGCGCAGGAGGAAGAGGGCTCATTGGGACAGGATGCTCTGGCCCACGAATGGCCAGATCTGCTCCTCTATGCCTTTCCTCCAATTCCTCTCCTTTGGTCTGTCCTGAGATGGGCACAGGAGAGGCATCACAGACTCCTTCTAGGGGCTCCTTGATGGTCAGCAATGCCTTGGTTCAGCCTCCTGCTGACTCTGACAACTGGTCTGCCTCAGCCGCTGCCAGTTCGGAAGGATCTGCTGTCACAAATGGAGGGAGTGTTGTGGCATCTCTTCCCAGACAGGTTGAAATTGTATATCTGGTCCCTGGGGTTGAGAGGATGCTATCCCAGTGTTCAGCGGGAGTGAGGAATACAGTCATGAGTGCTAGGGCTCCTTCAACATGCCGCACTTATGCGAGTAAGTGGAAGCAGTTTGTCTCTTGGTGCGCAGACCTTTTAGTCCAAGTGATTGCCCAGTCAGTGTGGTGTTGGACTTCCTGCAGTATTTGTTGGATGCCCTGTCAGCCCACCGGGACCCTGTGGATCAGGTATCAATCAGTGCGAATAGACTAGTGGTGGCTTTTCTTAAAGGGGCTGTACGTCTGAAGCCGCCAGTACGGGCAGTTTGTACCCAGTGGGATTTACAGGTGGTATTGGACAGGTTGTGTTTGGCACCCTATGAGCCTGTTGAGCAAGCAGACATAAGGAGCCTCTCTATGAAGACAGCATTTCTGTTGGTCATAACGTCAGCCAGAAGAGTCAGCGAGTTGCATGCATTGTCGGTGAGCTCGCGGTTTCTCAGGTGGGGACCAGAGGACAGTCATGTTACACTCTGGCCGAATCCAGCCTTTCAGCCCAAGGTATTGTCGCCTCAGTTCATAAATCAACCTATTCAGCTGGCAGCGTTCACGCAGGATGGAAGGGCCTCGCGGGCAGCCCTATGCCCAGTCCATATGTTGAAGCAGTATGTATTGAGGACTGCCTCATGGCGTGTCACGGACCAGCTTTTTGTCTGTTTTGGACCCGGCAAGAAAGGTGCACCTTTGTCGAAACAAAGGCTTGCTCACTGGGTGGCGGACTCTATTGTTGAAGCATATCGTGTGACAGGTCGTGTATTGCCTGCAACTGTTAAATGTCATTCCACTCGGGCAGTGGCCACTTCTTATGCAGCATTATGTGGTGAACCTCTTTCGGAAATATGTGCGGCAGCTACATGGGCATCACCTTGCACATGCACAAGATTTTATCGACTTAACGTGGCTCCTTCTTCTGTGATCAGTTCTGCCATATTTACAGAAGATGTTTGAGCTTATATCCTCGTGACTTGGCTGTATTCGTCTTCCACCATGTATTGACCGTCTCTGGCGGTCTGAACAGTGGAAGACCGCCAGAGTCTCTGGTCACTCGGATTGAGAATGACTATGAGACCGACCGTGACGTAGTCAGGAGCTGATATAGCTTCCGACAGGTCATCGGTCAAAGTCACGTGTGACTGAATTAATACGAGATTCTGGATGTGATGCGTGAGACACGACTCCTTTCCACCATGTATTGACCGTCTCTGGTGGTCTTCCACCGTTCATAGAACCACGGTTACTCCAGTAACCCGCGTTTTATAGCAAAAGCAGATAACTCCACATTTCATGTTTTAGAGTTTTAAAAAAACACTCGTTTAATCGTTGTAATCTCCTCAGATGACAATGTAGATGCCTGACAAACGCTGTTGTTGTTGTGATCATAAACCGTATGGATGTGATTACACGCAATACACGGAGCTTTCCCTCACCATTGTAACACGCTGCTTTTGCAAGGTTACGTGAAAACGTTTCATCTTTTATTTTCCTTTTTCGCCCTGAAGAAGATATCACTGGTTCTTCAAGTTCGTCGAAATTATCCATCCTCGATCACTTTTAGTCAGCTTTGACGAAACTCCTCTCAGCTAGCACGTGAATGTAGCCTTGTCACCTGACCTGAATACTAAAAATCCTTTTTATAACCCAATAAAGAAACAAATATTCAAAATTAGTGAGTTTCTTTGCATTTTCCAAATAGTTTTCCAGCATACTGTATGAAGCATTCCCAAAAATGGAGGGTTTGAGAGGAGGATGGATGCTTTATAAGACTACTGGTGACTTTATATTTTCTTTATTACCACTTGAGTCAGTATGTTTTGGGTTATAAAAACATGTCATGTTCATTTTATCTTTGTTTATAGGGGGTGTGGTGTAAGATGGCTAAACATTATTCCTCCAGACTCAGAAGGTTACACTGGACCCCAAATCAAATCTGCCTCTGCATCTGGAAAGACAATGTTGTATGTAGTTCCTCTACAAGAGGAACTGGACCTTAATCCTCTCCCAAATGATGCCAGAGAATAAAAATAAAATGCCAAAGGCTACTTGCCAAATGTGCAACAAAAGCATGCCCCTGCAGGTGCTTGGTCTCCACATTCAGGTTTGCAAGTCACATGATTCAACATCTTCAAATTAAGAGGTAATGGATTAATGCTGTCTAATTATTTGCTGATTTTATGATGGGTTTTGGTGCATGTGTTTTGACTAAATGTTTAATTTTTATTAATGTAACATTCCATGTTGATTTTATAATAAATCTATTACTGTGTTCAGACTTTCAAATGGATACCAAATGATTTCAGTGTATGTTTATGTCAGCAGATTGCTAATCATATACTTATGATGAAGTACTTTGTATGAAACCGTTTTAATGTCTTTGTTTTTGGAGCAGACAGAAGTTCAGTTCGTCTCAGAAAGCAATTTGGATGAGCTGAAAAAAGACAAATTTCCATCTGAGGTAATGTGGCTTTAAAATTATCTAGCCCTAATTAAAATGTTCTCTAATCCATGGTGCTATTATATCATTTAACATTTTCTTGTTTGTAGTCTGTTTTACCACGCCCAATATGTCAGCTGAAGTTTCCTGTGGACAGTCTTGAACTACATGCCAGCCTGTGTGGAGAACAACATCTATGTGAGTAACACAAACTTTAGGAAACATAGTTCTTGGAAACAAATATGTTCAATATGTTCATCAATTCAGCCCCAAGTGCTTTAATGCCACATGTGCCACTTTAAAATGAAAACTCTATTCTCTCCACATTACAGTGGAGTCTCCAGATCACAGCTCTTTTATGCACAATGATGATTCTTGTATTACTGACGATACAACAGGCAATTCAAGCTCTCCACAAGTATGGTAAACTTTTCATTTAAAACAGTCTAAACAGTTTCATTAAGTGTTACAATGTATATGGTGTTCACCATCTCAATATCTCCTGCCACATTCTAGAAGATCTTCTGGAGCTGCTTGTTGGCCGAGTAAATGCAGAAAACCAGTTTCGCATTTGTGTTTCACTAGAGAGGGGGCTCAAGTAGTGGCAAAGACAGAAAAAAGGAAATCCAGTCAACCAGCTAAAGGTAACCTTCATTGGTGAAGCTGGAGTCGACTCTACTGCTTTACGAAAGGAGTTTCTTACAGGCAAGTTATTAAGTATAATAAAAGTGGAAAAGCTGTAACAAAAAGAAATACAATTTATCTGTGTAATTCACACACTGTTTTTTCTCAATATATTATTCAAAGAAACAATCAGTGGCATTGAAATAAGCCTCTTCTTGGGTCAGAGAGCAAAGAGTCCACAGTGCTCCAACAATGACCTTGACAATGGTCTCTTCAGGTTTGTGATGTTGTAGCAAAATGTTTAAATTATATGTGTAATGGCAATGACTGAGTGCTTTTTAAAACATCACTTTGGAATAATAGGACTGCTGGAGAGATCTTTGCAGTCAGCTTAGCTCAAGGTGGCCCAGCCCCATGTTTCATGCGAGAGTGGTGCTACTTTTACCTCACTACTGAGGAAGTTGATGTCCTCAGAATTTGCAAGGACGATGTAGATAATATTGAATACTCCCTGTTGATCTCAAAGGTAACTTCACTCTGAATACTGCCTAATAGTTACAAGCAGTATATTGCATTGTTGGTTTGCATATTTCCACAGAGTAATAACAGAGTCAATTTGGCATTTTGTTGTCACTGACAGTTTTTCTTTAGGTTGAAGAGGCAACTGATCTGACAGAATTCACAGATGAAATGATCAGCTGTGAATACACAGGAGCACTCAACATAGAACAAAAAGATGCCATAATTCGGTGAATATGGAACATACTTTCCCTTTTAAGCAGTCTGTGTCATGAATGACAGAATTTGGAAGACTGTTCAATGTTACATTCAGTCAAATTAAATTTAACTTGTTAACCTTAATTACTTAACTTACAACTTAAAACAAACTTATGCTGTATTACTAGATTTACTAGATTTGCAGTCATTTGTAAGTAGTAGTAATTTACTGGATTTGTTATTATTATTAAATTTGTCACTTTTGTTTTTCTCCACATGGATGTGATTACACGCAATACACGGAGCTTTCCCTCACCATTGTAACACGCTGCTTTTGCAAGGTTACGTGAAAACGTTTCATCTTTTATTTTCCTTTTTCGCCCTGAAGAAGATATCACTGGTTCTTCAAGTTCGTCGAAATTATCCATCCTCGATCACTTTTAGTCAGCTTTGACGAAACTCCTCTCAGCTAGCACGTGAATGTAGCCTTGTCACCTGACCTGAATACTAAAAATCCTTTTTATAACCCAATAAAGAAACAAATATTCAAAATTAGTGAGTTTCTTTGCATTTTCCAAATAGTTTTCCAGCATACTGTATGAAGCATTCCCAAAAATGGAGGGTTTGAGAGGAGGATGGATGCTTTATAAGACTACTGGTGACTTTATATTTTCTTTATTACCACTTGAGTCAGTATGTTTTGGGTTATAAAAACATGTCATGTTCATTTTATCTTTGTTTATAGGGGGTGTGGTGTAAGATGGCTAAACATTATTCCTCCAGACTCAGAAGGTTACACTGGACCCCAAATCAAATCTGCCTCTGCATCTGGAAAGACAATGTTGTATGTAGTTCCTCTACAAGAGGAACTGGACCTTAATCCTCTCCCAAATGATGCCAGAGAATAAAAATAAAATGCCAAAGGCTACTTGCCAAATGTGCAACAAAAGCATGCCCCTGCAGGTGCTTGGTCTCCACATTCAGGTTTGCAAGTCACATGATTCAACATCTTCAAATTAAGAGGTAATGGATTAATGCTGTCTAATTATTTGCTGATTTTATGATGGGTTTTGGTGCATGTGTTTTGACTAAATGTTTAATTTTTATTAATGTAACATTCCATGTTGATTTTATAATAAATCTATTACTGTGTTCAGACTTTCAAATGGATACCAAATGATTTCAGTGTATGTTTATGTCAGCAGATTGCTAATCATATACTTATGATGAAGTACTTTGTATGAAACCGTTTTAATGTCTTTGTTTTTGGAGCAGACAGAAGTTCAGTTCGTCTCAGAAAGCAATTTGGATGAGCTGAAAAAAGACAAATTTCCATCTGAGGTAATGTGGCTTTAAAATTATCTAGCCCTAATTAAAATGTTCTCTAATCCATGGTGCTATTATATCATTTAACATTTTCTTGTTTGTAGTCTGTTTTACCACGCCCAATATGTCAGCTGAAGTTTCCTGTGGACAGTCTTGAACTACATGCCAGCCTGTGTGGAGAACAACATCTATGTGAGTAACACAAACTTTAGGAAACATAGTTCTTGGAAACAAATATGTTCAATATGTTCATCAATTCAGCCCCAAGTGCTTTAATGCCACATGTGCCACTTTAAAATGAAAACTCTATTCTCTCCACATTACAGTGGAGTCTCCAGATCACAGCTCTTTTATGCACAATGATGATTCTTGTATTACTGACGATACAACAGGCAATTCAAGCTCTCCACAAGTATGGTAAACTTTTCATTTAAAACAGTCTAAACAGTTTCATTAAGTGTTACAATGTATATGGTGTTCACCATCTCAATATCTCCTGCCACATTCTAGAAGATCTTCTGGAGCTGCTTGTTGGCCGAGTAAATGCAGAAAACCAGTTTCGCATTTGTGTTTCACTAGAGAGGGGGCTCAAGTAGTGGCAAAGACAGAAAAAAGGAAATCCAGTCAACCAGCTAAAGGTAACCTTCATTGGTGAAGCTGGAGTCGACTCTACTGCTTTACGAAAGGAGTTTCTTACAGGCAAGTTATTAAGTATAATAAAAGTGGAAAAGCTGTAACAAAAAGAAATACAATTTATCTGTGTAATTCACACACTGTTTTTTCTCAATATATTATTCAAAGAAACAATCAGTGGCATTGAAATAAGCCTCTTCTTGGGTCAGAGAGCAAAGAGTCCACAGTGCTCCAACAATGACCTTGACAATGGTCTCTTCAGGTTTGTGATGTTGTAGCAAAATGTTTAAATTATATGTGTAATGGCAATGACTGAGTGCTTTTTAAAACATCACTTTGGAATAATAGGACTGCTGGAGAGATCTTTGCAGTCAGCTTAGCTCAAGGTGGCCCAGCCCCATGTTTCATGCGAGAGTGGTGCTACTTTTACCTCACTACTGAGGAAGTTGATGTCCTCAGAATTTGCAAGGACGATGTAGATAATATTGAATACTCCCTGTTGATCTCAAAGGTAACTTCACTCTGAATACTGCCTAATAGTTACAAGCAGTATATTGCATTGTTGGTTTGCATATTTCCACAGAGTAATAACAGAGTCAATTTGGCATTTTGTTGTCACTGACAGTTTTTCTTTAGGTTGAAGAGGCAACTGATCTGACAGAATTCACAGATGAAATGATCAGCTGTGAATACACAGGAGCACTCAACATAGAACAAAAAGATGCCATAATTCGGTGAATATGGAACATACTTTCCCTTTTAAGCAGTCTGTGTCATGAATGACAGAATTTGGAAGACTGTTCAATGTTACATTCAGTCAAATTAAATTTAACTTGTTAACCTTAATTACTTAACTTACAACTTAAAACAAACTTATGCTGTATTACTAGATTTACTAGATTTGCAGTCATTTGTAAGTAGTAGTAATTTACTGGATTTGTTATTATTATTAAATTTGTCACTTTTGTTTTTCTCCACAAGAGCAATTGTTCTCCATGCAACATTTCGAGTTACACCAATGCTTGGAGACTTGCACAAAGGCCTCCAGCTCTATGGATTGCTGGACATACTTAAGGAGCATCCAAATATTTGTAAGAGTCTGTTTGTTCCTGGGGAGGATTGTACAGTAAGTTAAATGTTTGTAACAACATTGTTTTTGGAACCAATTTGTTGTTTACTGACAATTTGTTCTTTTTCCAGCCAGATGCTGACTACATTCTCAGCAGCGTTGCTCCTGAAATGAGTGCGAGAGGAACTTCAAGGGCTTCGGTAGAGAGCAAAATCATAAACTACTTTCAGGACTTCCTTAAAGAAATTGAATGTGGGGGTGGGCTTTGCATTGTATTGCACTTTATTATTATTATTATTATTATTAATCTTAATGTTCTTGATGGGATGGTTTACCCAAAATTAAAATTAAAAAACACTACTCAATCTTAGGCTGTCCAAGATATTACTTTCTTTATCAAAAATGGGATACTGACCTGGGATAGAGAATAAGAGACTTTTAGAAAATGAGATTTGTCCAGTCATTTTAGTGTAACATAGAGTCTCTCAGTCCTTTATTGCGGTATCGCTTGTTTTTTTGTTTTCTTTACACAAAACTATGGAGAGTGCTAAAGATGCAGCAGAAGTGAAAACTGAGCCATCCTACCTCACTGTCCCTAGAGTCATGCAATGGATTACAGACCAGGGGCATAAGCCACTGCTGCTTTCGGAACAGAAGGCTTTTCAGATAGTTTTCCAAATTGATCATGACTGTCAAGTCAGAATGCCACAGCACACCATATGCTACCCAATAGTGAGCGCTTGCACTAATACAGTTACTTTTCCAGTAGCACACATGACAACATATGAAGACTTTAAATGCATCATTGTACAAGCCATAAAATCAGGGGGAGCATTTAGCAGGGTTTAAATATCATGTAGTGCTGGATTTGAGTTAATTTCTAAAAACGATAGCTTTTAGTTTTACAGTTTAACATATATTTCATATCTCAATCTGTTGGAGGTCTGCAGTACGTTGATATCTACATTAAGATACTTAAGTTGCATTTTCTATTCTGAAATGTTTTAAAAGTGAGCCTCAGTTAAGACTTTGTTTCTGGAGTTTATATCTGATTTAAGATATGCAACTTGCATTTTCAGTTCAAATTGTTCAAATCAAGCCGCTGTGTTGTAGAGCTCCCCTTAACTGATTTTATATTTGTTTTAAGGTACTGATGTTGCATTTCATTTATAAGTTACATTTTTTTCCAAGGGAACCTTGGTGAAGAGGTTTGCCACTACAGTAGGTATTTGACAATGTTAATTACAATAATAAAAAAAACGTTTAAAAGTCATTGCTTTTGTTTTATTTTCATGCCAGAGGTGTTTAGTCACATATTTACCACATTAGTTTTATATATATATATATATATATATATATATATTAAAAATTAAAGCTAACAAAAATAAAATTATTTGTTTAATCTCTGTGTGCTAAGTACAGATCAACTTCACAATACTTAAATGACACCATACACTTTACAGGATTCTTTTTTTTTTTTTTTACATAACTTACAGTCTGATGTTTCGAGCTCCAAAGTATGTTATTCAAGAAACTGCTGCCCAAAATGTAACACTGATAAGTAAATAGCTTGGCCAAAGTCTCTGGACTGTGAGACTGGATTAATGGTTGTCCTGAGTCGAGCCATTTCATACACTGTAAAAACGAACAGTGAAATTAATTAAATTTAATTAGTTAACTTCACTCAAATAATAATGAAAGTTCATTGGACTTAATTGAAATAAGTTCTGTAAATTTAAAATGTTGTTGTAGTAAGGTGAACTTAAAATGATTGCGTTTTCTAGTTCCCAGCATGCTTTGCATCAGACAACAAGGAAAATAAATGTAGAAATTAAGTGTTATTTTGTGTGTTTTTACACAAGATTAACATAGAGAGACATAAGTTAGTACTTAAATGTTGTGTTATGTTAGGATTTACATAGGTTTCTGTTATGTTGGTTTTGTAGTGTTACCGTTGTGGTGAAGAGTAGAGCCTGTGGTTAGGTTGAGGATGGACAGCAAAACTTAAAGACTATTTATACTGCATGTTGTTTGACTATTTATATGCAAGTATTGTGAGTCTTTCAGATAACTACATTAATACGTGCTAGTGTGCTGTTACTAGCTAGCACGTAACTATAAAGTTCTGAATGAATGTGCTGTTAATGGAAGCAAGTTGTATATAATTATCATTGTGATGAGTGGGGTGGGACCATGGAAGCGAGGCTTGGCTTGGCTCCCATGGCTCTCAGTCCCGCCCCACTTGTCATAAAACTTTTAAGCTTTACTAACTTAAAAAAATTGAGTTTGTGTACTCAAATATTTTGAGGCAATAAGTTTCCTCAAATGTTTTGAGTATTCGTAACTTACCAGGTTTTACAGTGTACTCTGAGAGCAGACACTCCAACTCAGGGACCACTACTCCAGTGTTCTGCTCCTCCAGTGGGTAAGTGCCGTCTTGCACCAAAATGTTGAGGTCCTGGATTAAAAAACCCCAAAACAAAACAAAAATAATAACAATAATTGAACAGTATAGACAAAACATACATTGTATTGTGCTTTAAAAAAAAAAAAAATTATAATCATACCTCCATGTCACCTAAAACATTGACTCGATTCTGTGCAAGTCCTATTTCCCACAGCTGATTAAGGGGGAAAATTTTGCTCTATATGGATGGAATGATCATTCCATACATCAGTGAAAGTATCTAGGTCTCTTTGGAGGCAGGTAAGAAAAACATAATGTGCACAGAAGAGGTGAAGCGTGTTCACCTAACAGGTACCTAAACAGTTTTAATAACAGATAAGATATCTTGATGTACAACAAGTAACTTCTACAAAAACAATTTACCTGATCAGCTTGTGGTTGGTGTCCAAATGCATTAGGGACAGAGGGGCCTG